GGCCAGCAGGTGATGAGGTCCGTGTTATCTCTGTGTCGGAGCCACCAACAACAGTATAATTGGTAAAAACTTAACGTATATATACATAAGTGCAGTACAACCACAAGTGAATCGATTTGCAAGTTTCAAGACCAAGAGAGAAAGCTGCTTACCGATTTGAAAAAGCTGTACGAAAGCAGCAGATCGAAGGCCGTAAATCCCGGCGCTGGAAAGCATATTCACCCCAGTTGAACTGCTAACTAAACACGAAGACTACATGAAGTAGTGAAGCCACCGCCAATACGAATGACTTCGGGCATTGCTAGAAACAAAGTCGCACTAGGACACAGCCTGCAAACACTGAGGGTGTCTGTAGGTTGACGAAGGCAACACTGTACATACCGATGCAAACGGCATTTTGCGGCTTGTACGTTTTCATTGAGTCGGAGAGCTCTTGCTGCGACAGCAAGTATTTTGCGAGGTGGTTGGGCGCCCATATCATCCAGAGGCCATGCTTCTATGTCCGGGTCAGTGTGGGAGGACTTGCAGCCTGAAGCCTGGACTTCGGGAAGTCAAAGCTGAACCCTAAAGGCCCTAAAGCAACGCAAGCGTTGCCTCGACAGGTCGGGGTGTTCCGGGCCTTCGAGCCACGCTCCAACGAGGTTCACTGCACGCACCGTGAGACGTGCCGGGTTGGGGTGCAACAGCATACACCACACGTGGGCAAGGGTGCATGCAGCAGCTTCCGCGCTGCATGGCTCAGCAGTTGCACAGTTTCGGGATGTTCGGTGTCGACCCCGAGGCAGGATTGGCGCCACCGCCCGGCTGGCCTTGAACTGAGCAAGTTGGTGTAAGGCTCCTGCGCCGATCTTGCCAGTGGTCCGCTGATTCCCCAGCTCTTGCCCAGCCTGTTCCTGACGACCTGTCGATCAATCGGGACTGTGAGACATTGATAGGCTGTGAGGCATGTAATTGTGTGTCGTCCCAGCCGCATGTGCGATCTTAGTCACGAAGAGTCCTTTGCGGCACGCGACATTGAGAAGTCCAAGCCTCTTGCGCTGTTTGTTCGTCGAGGCTTTGGCTTTCCCAGGCTTCTGGCCGGTGGCAGAGATGTTGGTCTGAGGCCTGTCATCTTGAAGTTCAGGTGCTAAACCGCCAGAACATCCTTGCATCCATTTGGTCCTTTTCTGCCCTCGTGACATCTTGGTTCGAAAGTGCCGTCCTGACAGCCGGTTGGAAGGTTCGAGGGCCAATCCTCGTGCTGTACAAAGTCGACCAGCGCAACTGCAGGGCACCTCAGTATCCCAGGCAAAGATAAGCAACAGGTCTCACACTGCGCCTGTGCTGCCTTCCTCTGCGACGGATACGGGTTCCCGTCCTGCAGCCCATTGCACCGGAACCCCGCCCCACGTGCCCTGAAACCTGAGGCATCGGGGCCACCTATGCAGCACTCCCGGGCGCGTTGGTGTCCAAGCTCCCGGAGCTTCGAGAGGCTGCAAGCTGAAGCCACCAAAACCGTAGAGGCTTTGCCAAGGGCTGTTCGACCTGGGGCTGCTTGTCGAGGGTTCAGGCAGTAATCTGGCCAGAATATGCTGACTCTCACGACAATCGCCATTTGCTCAGTGACAGCGGTGAGTGAGGAGCAATGGAGGATGTGTTGAACCTTTGTTTCGCTAATACTGCAGACCGTAGGATACTATTGCTCTCAGGGAGCTTGACATTTTGCAGCCAGTCTGGGCTCCTTCGTCGAAGCTGATTTGTTGATCGTCCTTCAGATCGTGGTGGGTCCAGCGATGCTTGTGTAGCTGTGGGAAGTGTATCCACATCTTCGCTACTTCGGGGGTGCTCCATCTCACCGCCCGAAGGAGGAAGATTCCCACTGGGCGCTGAAAGAGGCCTAGCATGCCGAATCTCCAAGACCTGTTGATACGATTCATTCTGGGGTGCAGAATCATGCAGAATCCTCCGTGGAGATCTTCTGCCTTGGCACATTCGGAGGACGGAGCCCCGAGCGAGGCGTCGACCACGACGACCGACACCGGCCAGGCAGGGACTTCGCCACATGTCTCTTCTGGGGGAAATGGGGAGGACGAAGTGGTGGTGGTAGTACTAGTAGGAGGGGGAGGAGGAACGGGAGGTGAAGGAGTAGCAGGTAGAAACAGGGTTGGCGGTCACATTGGATTACAGTAGTGTGACGTTTTGAGCCTCTGTCCAATTGCCCGCCGGCGTGGATTGAAGTTGAATTCAATGCGTCCGGCGCCTTCGAGACTTGGATTCGCACTCAAATCCAATCAATGCAGATGTGTGCCCGAAGCTGCGGGTTTCGCCTAAACGGCCGCGTCGACTTCAGACTCGTGCTCGCCTGCACCCATTCGACCAAACACGCCCAGTCTCGGAGTCCTTGCTGAAATCGGAGCCTAACAACATTCCTGGTTCCAAGTCCACAAAAACAGGGTCCATATTAAGGAACCTGACAGGGGTCATTTGTTTGGAGATCAGCTCGGGAAGTCTTATAGAGCTTACCTGACGCTGACATGTGTTGTCTTGGCAGTTTGATGGTCTCATCAGCACGGATTCAGTAGGCTGCATTGAAATTTCATGTTTACCTTCTTTCGAAAGCGGCGTGACTTGTTAGGAAAGGGCAGCTCGCTTTTTGATTGTGCAGCATTCGGACAGTCCGATCGTTAATACGGCCGATCGGTATCGAAGTCCATCAGTGCAGAATGCTACTGTTCTTGTCGGCTCTACGTGCATACAGTTTCATTGCAGGAAATTTTCCGTCTGAGTATGTTGAAAGGGCTTTTCTTTCTTTAGCGCTGTTGTTGCTCGGAGCTTCGTGGACGGTTCTGTACACAGGGTTGAAGCAGGCCGGGTCACGAACAAGCTAGATCTGCTCCTTTTTCAGACTTGTTGTTTCCCACTGTTGGTGTGAGCAGTATTTATCACTTCTGCTGATGAGAAGCCATCTGCAAGGCACCATCGCACACGGGCGAGTGCGGGCCTTGACGTGTGTTTTTTTTTCAGATTGTTCACTGTGCACAGGTACCGTTTTCCGTCTCGCGTGTGTATGTATCTGTGCATGCATGTGTATGTGTGTGTGTAGTTGTGAATGTGTCCAAGACCCCTCCACGTCTCTCGACGTCTAAGGACGTCACAAAATGCTACTCGCAAGCATCCCACGCTGCTAAGTACCTCCATGACTTTCTTGAAGCACCCGGCCATGAATTTAACTTGCAAGCTTTGAGTAGACTAGCGAATCGTCTTTGCGATCGTGCTGTATGGCGCTGAGTCACACACGTATTTTCAGGCAAACCTCATCAAACTCGACAAGCTACACTGTAAGCCTTTGCCACACTGTAAGGCTTTCCCGTAGTTTCAATGTCAAGAGCTCTTTTCATCACTAAGCACTCGACCCTCGACGCAGACTGCTGCAATGAGTATCTATCCCAATTGGTAAACGTAATACGTACCTGAATTACTGGCTCCCTCCCAAGACAGAATTTCGTCTAGGATTTCATACCTGGGCCATAGAAAAACTTCGGCAAGCCGGCTCATTGGAGCATTTAGGTAATTTTCCAAACTACGCACGCGTACCGAAAGCTACCTACACGACGACCGGGCCACCCTCAGTTGCATTGGTATGCATTGGTCCGATCCGACGACGCAGGCATAACAAAGCCCCACCTAGATACACATGAAATATATCATCACCCGACCGGTGGCTGAAAAATATTTAATTTCGGTAATACAGATTTTAAGTTGTTCCTGTCGTTTGGGTCAGGATTGGATGCCCGTGACTCCTGGGAAAGTTGCTTATGTCATAGACTGAGAACTCGTAGAGTCGTAGAGGTACAGTTTGTGCCAGATTGGATGTAGCAGCTCCTAGACCCAGACCTGGTGATGGGTTGTTGCAAAGGACGCCGAATAGTACGGTTCCAGGAGCCCTCGTCGTGTCTCCAGTGGGCTCGGCTTCGAGCTGATTACTGCTGGTGGCATCCTGGTGCAAGGACCAGTTTTTCCCATCTGGCGGGGCTTTAACTCCCTTTGACTTTGTGTCTATTGGCAGTTGGATGCTGCACTTCCTGGAGACATCCAGACTGGTTGACAAGTCTTAAATGCGGCTTCAAGCGTAGGCATTGAGTCGGAAGCATCGCAGCAAGCTGTAGCCTTGAAATTTGCAGTTAGAGACGCCAGACAGTCCAAGTTCTGTCTTCCGAGGCTCCGGCGGGCGTGGGCGCTTGCTCCGCCTCTCTGCGGCCACGAAGCGGGAGGCGCAGCCTGGCACTCGGCAGAGCTCTGGGCTTTGTGTGCGGCGTTTTGCGTATCGTCCGGTATGTCTGTCAATGTGCACGGTGCCTGTTGCTGGTTTCGTTTCTTCGCAGCTGCGAAATGCCTGCCACTTGGGATTCGAGAGAGTTGAGCATCGCAGGTGTTGCAGGCAGAGGTATTCGAGTCCTTCTGCTGAGTTCTGAGGTCGTGGCGTCATCTGCTTGAAACCATTGCCGAACAACCAGGACCCTGAGCAAGTGCTATCTATCAGGGCATTATAGCTGTAGCTGGGGAATCTCAGAGGTAGACTCTTGCATGCGAAAGCATCCACGATCGAAGCCCTGCCGTGATTTCTGGTCGCATTGCTAGGAGCTGGTTACGTCACAGTTTCGCAGGTTGCGAGCCGCACACCTGGATTGGCTGTGCGAGACATGCCATATGGAGGGCGGCAGCGTAGAGGCATCACGGAGTGCCCTCCTCCCAGTCAGTGAGAAGTCCCGTGCAGCGGCTCAAATCGGGGATTCACTGCCAAAGTGCGGCTGATTGCCTCTGTGCCTTCTGGGCTCGATGGAGCGCCTGTTCGGATGTCTTGGAGCGAGCAGTAGCAATATGGGCGAGAAGCTGTTCAGACAAAGTATGTAAACGCGAACCTCGACTTAAAAGGTCATCGCCCAACCGAATGAAACTGGGACCTTCAAGGGGTTAGCTGTAGAGCTCGCTCCCGATCCCGCGATTATGCATCGAGGGCGCTGATGCTGGCCTTTTGCGCGCCGGCCACTGGCACCAAGGAGCAATGATGCTTCAACAGGGTTTTAGCGGCCTTTAGCGGCTGTTAGCGGCCTCTGGTCGGCCGCGTCCCTTCGTAACCTTAGTCCCGAGTTTGTCAGCTCCTTTTCACCCGTACAGCGCCGACCCAGTTTTTTGGGCTTGAACAAACGTCTCTATACGGTATCGGTCTAACTACAGCCACTCATGTGCAGCCTGAGAGCAACTAGATCTGTTGGAAACTGAGAAGACCCAGAATTCTACAGCACGCAGAACTGCTGAACATAGCCTGAGACAGACCAGGAATTAGCAATGCAAAAACTTTGTATAATTTGGAGCCTGAGAGAAAACCACTATGTACAGTTTGCGGCCCTGAGAACATGCAGTGTGGGAACAGCCAGAAGCGAATTGCAGCCTTTCGAGCTGGATAGCAGCCGCAAGTATGGAGACAGCGCTTGCAGCCCGAGAACACCGGGACATCCTGCAGTTCACAGTCAGATCACCGAGCTATCAGACATGCTTCTGACTGGCAGGGATGCTGCCAATCACGGCGTTTGCAGAGCAAGACGGGTCACCAACCTTTCTAAGGAAGTTTCTAAGGAAGATTAAGGAAGTCAGTGAAACAGCAACCTCCGGACTCCGCCTCCTCGCAGATGGAACATGCGCGCTGCTAAGCAGGAGGAGTTCGCAGTGCTTACACATAAACTTGCGACAGTGTAAACGTCTTTTCCGCCGACATGTCTTGTTTGGAACATTATCAGGGTCGAACTTAGTGGAAGCCTCCAGGGCTGGTGTTGGTTTGGTTTTTGAAGGCACAACCAGCAAACGAGTTTCAGAAGAGGGGAGACCCTTTCCCCCTTAGTAGGATCCTAACAAAGCTCTCTAGTTTCGGGGCCTGCGTGCCACCACCCAGCAAAATTCTTCGAGACTAAGCTCCTCATTTCATAAACCCAAAGAACAGAGTGATACAACCAAAGCTGGGTAAACCGTCCTGGAAACATTCAGCGCTGCGGGCTCTTCAGACTTGCCGTCATTCACCATGTCTAAAGCCCGAGAAAAGCAACGCCAGGCGCCGCTGCCGATGCCAGCGGCTGCACCAGTTCACAGCGGCTCCCCTTGGTCGGTGACAGCATCGAGGCACGGTTGCGGCTTCTTCCGACCCGAGCTTGGCAGGGACGGATGATAAAGGCAACTTAACGTTTTGAGTTCGGTCTATGATCTCGGTGCATCTCAGATGTATTGCTACAGTCATTCTACCGTGAGAAGCATCAGGTCTTTGGAGCTCATGGCGGTAAACAAGCGTTCTTTGAAGGCTCTCTATCCTCTCAGCACTCGCCACGGCCACCCGCTTGCGGCGCATCTCGCTGAGAGCGAAGTTGCTGGGACCGGCACTTGGGGACGCCGTACAGCTCTATCTTCATTGGGTGCTTGAGTCTTGCACTGGTGGGCGGACATGTTTACGAGATTGCGCATCTCTGATGTGTTGCATAGCTTTTGCCCGTGTGAGTCGATTGCCTAGAGTGTGTACCGGCAGACTATGCTGGGGTCACCAAGCAATACACTTGCAATGCCTTTACCAGCGTGCCCGACTTTGTATCAGGTGGAACGACAGGAATGCGGGCCACGGGGTCGAGCTTGTCCAAGACGATGCGATCGCGAAACGTATGGACCGGTGCAAGCCGTGTTGCTTTGCACTGAGGCTGCGCATGCAAATGCTTAACTTGTCCGGTTAACAGGGCCATGTGATGCAGAATGTAGGCGCATGCAGGGGCAAAGTCACATGAAGCCTTGTATACAGACACAAGAAGCCAACACCAGGAGGACATTAGCTTGCTCGAGTGTCGGGACGAGAGGTATGGTCGATTTCCTTGGGCTTCGTATCCTTTCCCATATTAACCGGTTGCCATTGGATGGGAACAGGCAAGGCTAACAGCTAACCCGTCGGTCACACGACATGCTGCTACCTGTAGCAGCCGCCAGTGGGCGTTGTGAGTAGCACCATTCCCACCAAGTTCTCCTGACCTGTTTCTGTTAACCGCACCTGGATCGATCACGTTCAACTGTGCTACATCACCGACATGAAGGTCCAGGGCATCGTGAACAAGAGCATTCTGCACCCATCATCAGTAGATTAGGAGAGAGCTTCACGTGAACTGGAAGAGCTTTGCAAACTTTGGGCGTCTGGGGCCTAGGGCAGCGACTGACTGCATGCACGGGCGATTGTAACTATGCAATGTATCGAAGGCTATGAGAAGGAATTTACCAGTGAAAAGGCAACTTCTTAGCTTATCTTCCAGCAAAGAAGCACAAGTCTCTAACACCGAGACGCCAATGCCCCGAAAGCCAAACGTGAAGAAACCCATTTGAGCCAGAAGTGACTCGTATCGGTGTTCGTTGGCATATGCGTCTCACGAGCTTCAGGCTCTGTTTCTCGGTCTCACTGTCTATGTTTCTCTGTCTGTCTTTCTGTCTGTCTGTCTTTTGCATTGAGCGTTTTTGAAATGCACCTCGCACGATGGCGGCACATGGCTCATCCAAACATTGACGCGTTTGCTTCAGAGTTTGGGGCGAACCAGCAGTGGGCCTCATCCGAAAATATGACGTCCGAATTTGTTTCTGCGCAGCTGGGAGTTGAGTGAGCTAAACCGGCGTGGCCGAGGAGGGAGGCTTTTCGCGGCGGGTGTAGCTCTCAGGCACACAGCTTCATGAACGCTGGTTGTGCCATCGATCACCGTTGTTTTCTGACCGGGGTGGCTTGTCTGCTCATTCAACAAAGAAGTGCATGTTTGCATGAAATGTCGAGAAAGCATGTTGTGGTTGTAGGTACTAAGGATCAATTCGTTCTTGCAATCATGCTGGTGTGCTTCATTCGGTAAATCAATACATTGACATATGGTTGAAAATCAAGAAGTGCATAGATAAGTACACACATGTGCACGTGCGTGCTGTTTTTGGAACTAGATGTCGCACAAATGCTTGCCAGGCCTTGACACTGCAGAAATGTCAGAGATTGAAACCATGGAGATGATGCGAACGAGGCTGATGATGACAACGACGTCTTTAATGTGCCAACAGTCAATGGGATGGGTCGCGACCCTCGTAACTGTCGTCATTTTATGATATGGACGGTCGATGGTTTATGGATCTTGATGTCGCGTGAGTAGGGACTCAAAGACACCTGCACTCACAGCGAGAAGATAGGATTGGACAAAGCCAAACCCAAGCCCATCCACGACAACGCTTCCTGCTTACAAGCATGGAGACAGACCCAAGTCGGGATCGGGGACCCAAACCCACCCACACCATGGTCATAGACAAGAGTGGATTCCATGAGCCCGAACCCCAACCCTCCATTCCTAGAGGCAGTCTGTGACCTTGGGGGAGGACACCCTCAGAAACAAAAAGGCAAGCCCGAAGCCAACTGCCCACAAAAGCAAACCCATCCATCGTGAAAACTTTCACACCCTTCCAACAAGCCTGCAAACGAATGCGGTTGGGCGAAATGCCCGGGGGGCCTAACCCGCCCTCTATGCCTGGGAGGGAGAGAGAGAGAGA